CGCCGCCGGCCGCCCCCGTAACTGATTTTACTGCTGTTGCCTCTTTTCTGACTGTTTGGAGATGCGGCTGTTGTCGGCTCGGGGCAGCCCTTTGCCATGGGGGTAATAAAGGGCAGGGACACTTTCCCGGGGACACGGTAGATATAACCTACTACATGGGACAGTTTTAGGTCGTGTTCGGGGAGCTGCCTGAAACGCGTGATTGAGATGATTTGGTGCTCCAGGTCTGTGCTCCTCAAACCAGCCGGATTTTGAGAATTGCCTCTCACCACTTATACACCGGTTTTTGCTTTTCAGCATTTACCAGAAATCACATTGTTTTTCTTATAGTAAAAATCATGTATACACATATAAAAAACAAATGCAATTGCTTAAGCACTGAGATCTAGTGCTCCCCGGGATCTGCTGTACTTTTAATAGGATTAATGCGAAACAAAATTTATTCCTTGATGAGAAATATTCTTGTCTTTAACTATCAGGAAAATGAATGCTGCAAAATTGCTGGTGACCTGCCTGTCTATCAGAACTTCCCTAATGCAGATGGATGGTTTTGCACCAAGTATTTCCCTCAGGAGAATACAGAAACTGCCGTTTATTTGGTAAAAGTTTTGTCTAGAAAAGTGAGAGTGACTAAACGATTAACTAAATGACTAACTAAGTAAAAGATGACTAAATGATTCATTAAAAACGGATGCTGGTACAGAAGAAATGAACTCTACTCAAGACAGAATCAAAGTTAGATTACATGAACCTTGACCAGTTGTGCTAATTAGGGCTAGGATGTTCTTAATAACAATGCTGATCGGTGGAGTACGTTAGAAGATAAATTCATTGAAATTCTGTGTTCATGCCCAAGTGAAATGGCCAAATTATTATTTTTTAACTCAATACAACTCAAAAAAAAAAAAAATCAAAACAGGAGCAGCAGCTAGCAGCAGACATCGCTTCTTTGTGCCTGAAGGTGCAGATAAGCGATGAAATTTTACAGGCCTGGTTGCGTGAAAAATTGTGGTGATGCAGATCGAAATGTTCGGGCACGCCGTTTATATGTTTCCCAATAACCTGACGTTCATGCCCGGAGGTGCAGGCGCAGGACTCGTTCGCGCAGGCCGTGGAGAGGGGGGCGTTGATACCCAGCAGCAGGCGGGCTCGCCCGTGGGAAAAGCGAGCGACCTATTTCTGCAGGACGGGGCCCCGCCAAACCCGACTGCTGCGGCTCCCGCGTTTGGAGAAGACCACAGCTGTTTTGCTTTGCAGCGCTGCCCTAACTGCTCCGGGCTT